AAATCCATTTGAAGGTGGAAATCTAAAATCCATTTGGGCACTTGTTATGAGAATTTTCTTCCGTCTATACATTTGGTTTATATATCTTTGTCTTATTACAGAGGCACAAAATATGAAATGTTGAACAAAGCAAAAACATATTTTGTCTCAAAATAAAGTGGCAATTACCATTGCCATACTATGCCTACCGAACATTTGGCAATACCGAACTTCGGTATACCGAAAGTTTCGTATGGTAATGGTAATAGATTTTACCAAACCGAAAATTTGGTACGGTAATTGGTACGAGGGTTTCGGTACGGTAACCGTACCGAACTCACCCCTAGTGACGATTGGGCCAACCACAATTTAAGCCGCTCAAATGCAGGTCGTATGGTGGAAAGTATAGTGCTTGATCATGCTTTTTGGACTCAATCAGAACATGTATGCCAAGTGTTTGAACCTCTTTACAAAGTTTTACGGATCATTGACATAGAAGTGTATCCTACTATGGGGGCAATATATAAGTTGAGGCATGTAGTGAAGGATGACTTGGAAAGAAAACATGGTGCAAGGTGAGTCATAAAGATAATTAATGACCGATGGTATAAAACATTATACCACGATTTGCATGCAGCAAGTATAAATTATGTCATAATTTGCAATTCATTTTTTTAGTTGCATAAGTATTATTTCTCTTATTAGAGTATGTGTTTCTTTGAACAACATATTATTTGAATCCTTGATACCAATACAGACCCAGTGTTGGAGATGATGGTACCCTTATACGTGTTGTACATAATGTATACTCTAAATTAAACCCTGCATCACCAGAAGTTGGCCAATTTGGAAATGAGGTACACAATTACTTAAATTATAATAATTACATTGTTGGATTAAACTAACACGATTTATTGAATTCAGCTAACATGGTTTAAAAATGCAAGAAGAACCCTTGGAGAACCACATCAGCTGCTGCTCGAACAAAAATGTCTCCTAGTGAGTGTACGCATATTTTACTATCAGTTTATAATAGAATTTGTTGGAGTTATTAGGCTTATCGACATTGTTTTTCATTGTAGCTGAATGGTGGATCATGTATGAGACTGATGCACCAACTGTGAGAAAGTTAGCAATCAAAGTATTCTCACAAACAGTTTCCTCATCTACTTGTGAAAGAAATTGGAGTACATTTGCAGTCATACACACAAAGCAAAGAAATAGGTTGGCTCATATTAGGTTGGAAATATTAGTTTATTGCTACCACAACATGAAGCTTCAAATTCAAGATAAGGAAGCAGAAATAGATCATGTCGACCATGGTGACCCATTAGATGTGTTTGATATTGTTGCTGAAGATGATGATACAGAGGGTAACCAATTTTATCAATGGATTAGACCTCTTTATTTAGATGATGATAAAGGCAACCCAGCTCCCAGAGTTGCTGAATAAGCACGTGATGAAGGGATAAATGTAGAAAAAGTATTAGAGGAGGTGGGATCTAGCAGCACTGACTCTTTGGAAGAACTTTTGAACCCAAGACCAAAAAAAACACTGGAATTCCACCTTCTTCCAATCCTACACAACCACAAGATCATGCTGATACTAATGATAGATCTAGTACAAGATTAGGAGACTCACCTACCACCGGAGGTGGGAACGATGAAGGATATAGTGTAGTTGGAGGTAGTGGTGGATATGGAAACTATGTTGGACCACCTCCCGGATTTATGAGCCCCTTCACTGGTGAGGCAAACTTCACGCATGCAACACAGGATGAGGACCATGGCAGTAGGCGGGTAGGACCAGGAATTGGTGCCATAGGGAAGGACTATACTAGTAGAGAAAAAGGTAAGGGGACTTTGTCAAGTCAAGAAGATGACTCGTTATGTATAACTTCGGACTCTGTTGAAGTGGGAAGTAGTAACTATGGTTATACTCATAACCAACCATTTCCCTACCCTTCATATCCCATTCTTATTGGGATGGAATCGAGCGACTTATGGAAAGAATCTGAGACTCAATCTTCAAATGATTTTGCTTATGGACAACGTCAACCAATCTCGGATCCATATGGGTGGAATGTTAACAATTACATGCAAAACTATTTTGGTGATTTATCATTTGATGACTACTCTTCACAATACACTTACTCTACACATAGAGATGATGAAGATAGTGAAAAATTTGAACCTCATAGGAACTCTATGTGGTACTAAGTCACTGATGTATCTTACCATGCAATGTATAAAGTGTAAAATATTGTACTAATTCATTATATATAAATGATTATGGTGTGTTTAAACTTCTTTCATTAATTACTACATATTTTATATACTCACAATGTTTGCCAGCTCGCTATATAATCAACTTAAATCAGTTAAATCCATCATGCAATGCATTTCCTACCAATTTTTTTGTGATAAACCAATAGATAATTGACTAAATAAACATCCTGCAAAGTTTCAATAAAAATTTCCAAGTTTTTCTTACAATTTCTATGGTTTTTATTCAATTTTTATCGATATCGATAATATCCCGATATTTCCATCGAAATTTCCTTGTTTTTGGACTACCGATATTTTCGATATCATCGATATTTATACCTTGATCTCAGTGCATAGGTTCACCTTAGACAACCATTGTTATATACTTATCTTTCCTTATTTTCTTGTCAAGGACCTCAAAACCCGGAAGACACTTTTCCACAGGAGATATGAGAATGGCTTATACCCATTTTCAGGTGGTGGTGGACAGTTCAATTACCCTATTTCAATGTGTGTAGGCATTCGAGTCTCGGCCCAGAAATGGCATTCACGCCTTGGTCATCCATCGTCTTCTATTGTCAAGTTTTTAATTTCAAATAAGAGAGTACCAACTCTTGGTGCTTCAAATGTAACGTTATGTCAGTCATGTCCACTAGGAAAGAGTACTAAATTACCATTTAGTATCTCAGAGTTAGTCTCTCAATTTCCTTTGCAAATTTTGCATTTAGATGTTTGGTGGTCTCCAGTTAATTCAATTGAAGGTTTTTGTTATTACGTGTTGTTTGTGGATGATTATTCTAGATATTCTTGGATTTTTCCAATGAAAAACAAATTTGAAGTATTTGAAATATTTGTGAAATTCAAGGCACAAGTTGAAAATATGTTTAACAGTTCAATCAAAACTCTTCAATGTGATGAAGGAGGTGAGTATAAGAGTCATGTTTTTCAAAACTACCTTAAAACTCACAATATTTCCCAAAGATTTTCATGCCTAAAACACCCTGAATAAAATGGTATTGAGGAAAGAAAACATCGTCACATTGTTGAGACTAGTATTGTCATGCTTTCTCATGCAGATATTCTAAATAAATACTGGGTTGATGCGTGCTTAACAACAACCTACTTAATCAATAGGTTGCCAAGTCATATTTTGTCTCATAAGTCACCATATGAAAAGTTGTTTCATAAAATTCCAAAATATGAGACTCTAAAAGTGTTTGGTTGCAAATGTTATCCTTGGTTAATGCCTTATGCACAACATAAACTCCAACAAAAGTCCAAACCCATGTGTGTTTTTAGGTTACTCACTGAATCATCAAGGGTATAAATGCTTGGACTTGTCCATGAGATGAATCTACTTGTCTCGCCATGTCCTATTCGATGAAGGCACTTTTCCATTTAAGGCACTCACAACTTCACTGGACAACGTTGAACACATAGGTAGTACTACTTCACCTGCATTATTATTTACTTTTCCAATATTATCTCTATCTCATCATGCTAATACGCTACCTATTAGCCAGCCACTAGAGTCCCTAACCCAACCAAATTCTATCACCTAATATTCCTAATCTCACTTCAAATCATCAAACCACAGACACCACCTTACATGTTTCTTCAAACACGCCAACCATCGTGCCTTTAGGTATTGTTTGGTACGTGGGATGGGATGGAACAAAGTGGGATGATGTGTTTTGTCCCACGTTTGGTGCGCCTAAAATGAGTGGAACGCGCTGTTCCACGGGACGAATTTTCGTTTCGCCTCACCCCCTAGAATGACTAGTTCCACATTCGTGGAATACAAAATTATATCCTCTCCGTCTCCTTCTTCTTCCTCATTGTTTCCATATGAGGGCATCTTTGCTCCCTCTCCGTTCCGTCTCGTCCTGTCCCGTCGCGTTTTATCCCATTCCGTTCTGTCCCGTCCCGTCTGCATATCATACAATACCTCTTAGGTCAACCCCTCCTTCAAATGAGCAAGAGGCAGTACCATATGTTGATAATACCGATGTTCCTTCCTCACACCAACAGTCAGTGCAACCACAAAGAATGACCACTCACTCTCAGTTCGGCATTCAAAAACGTAACCCTAAATATGTTGTGCATGTTAACGTTGATCATTTTCCAGTTGAACCAATATGTTTTAGTCAAGCAATCAAGCAACAGGAGTGGAGACATGCCATGGTTTAAGAGTTCAACGCATTGCAGCGCTGTGGTACGTGGAAACTTGTTCTGTATCATCCACGTATGAATTTGTTACCAAACAAATGGGTGTTCAAGATTAAAAAAATAAGCAGATGGCTTGGTTGAAAGGCATAAGGCGAGGCTCGTTGCAAATGGGTTCCATTAGAAGCCTAGAATTGATTATACTGAAACATTCAGCCATGTGGTGAAGCACAGCACCATCAGACTTGTTCTTAGCCTCGCTGTTTCGAAAAAATGGCACATCAGACAACTAGATGTACAAAATGCAGTTTTGCATGGTTTCTTGAATGAAGAAGTGTATATGTGACAACCTGCTGGTTTTGTTGATATGCAGTATCCTGATTATGTTTGCAAATTGCAACGGAGCATATACGGCTTAAAACAAGCACCCTGAGCTTGGTTTCATCGTTTCTCAGAATTTTTTATTCAATTAGGGTTTCAAGCATCTACTTGTGATTACAACTCATTTGTTTATAATCACAGAGGTATATACTTGATTCTTTTGATATATGTGGATGATATTGTTGACAGAAAATAGTCCAACACAAATGGCTCGCCTAGTCAAGAAGTTGGGGACTTTATTTTCAATGAAAGATTTGGGCCCTCTTAATTATTTCCTGGGAATTAAAGTCAAATATGTTGGTGCTCAAATGCATTTGAATCAAGCAAAGTATGCACATGACTTATTGAAACACACCAAATTCTTGGATGATAAACCTATTTCAACCCCAGTTCCTTGTGGCCAGAAGTTAAGTGCTTATGATGGTGAGCCGCATGACAATCCAGTTTTGTATAGAAGTGTTGTTGGTGCATTGCAATACCTTACGATCACGAGACATGATCTTTGTCACGCAGTAAACCAGGTATGTCAATTCATGCATTCTTCGAAATATACACATTGGATGGTGATCAAGAGGATTCTTTGTTATGTAAAGGCTACTTACAACCATGGTCTTTTGTATAAACCTGGCATTGCACATCTCACGAGATTTTCTGATGCTGATTATGCTGGGGATTGTGACACACGGCATTCAATTGGTGGTTTTTGCATTTATTTAGGCTCTAATCTTGTTTCCTGGAGCTCTAAGAAACAAAAAACAATGTCTACATCGAGTTCAGAAGCTGAATATAGGCAGCTAGCATACACAACTGCTGAACTATCTTGGCTCAGGTCTCTTTTCTGTGATCTACATTTATATCTTGAAAGTCCCACAATCTGGTGTGACAATATCTCGTCCATTGCACTCGCTTCAAACTCTGTGTTTCATTCAAGAACAAAGCATTTGAAGATAGATTATCATTATGTTCGTGATAAGGTGGTTCGTGGGGAGTTACTGGTGAACTACATTTGATCTCAAGATCAAATTGCTGATTTATTTACAAAATGACTGTCTTCTTCACAGTTCAAACTTCTTGTCTCCAAGCTTCCAGTCGTTCCTTTGCCTATTAGCTTGCGGGGGGATGTTAGACCAAGTCATAGTCTCTCTGAGTCTTCAATAGTTTGTGATAGACTACAAGAGTTATCCATGCAAAGTTAGATTAGTTTCAAACTCTTTCAAATATTTGTTTACTGTATATCAAAGTTTAAATCTTTTCTGTTGTAGTTATGAATTTTGAATACCCTTGTAAATAGGGATTTCAATTCCCTGATGTAATCTGGAATGCAATATAAATACATGCAGCCCATCATTGAAAGGGCAATGCAATTGAAGAAAACCTTGAGTATACTTCAGTTTTACAGTAACAGGGTTGGATAGCCCGACGAAGACGACAGCCCACTGCGAATCTCCTCAGTAACACCCATCGATTCCGTTTCGCCGTTGCTATCTTCTTCACCATTATTGCAAGCAATGGAAATTTCTCCTGTCAAGGCACATTTCAACGATACATTGGCATTGACAATTCCAACCAACGTGCAAGGTTTTGTTTTTCCTCTAAGAAACGCTGGAACCACCAAAAGTGTAGTCCCCTTTCCACTTGCAGGCCAACACATAAGTGATTCCATCAACCTTAAGGAGTATGGAGATTACAGGAGCTTCATCTCAAAGATTATACGCCTCTATATGCTTCCCTCAACGCATACGAACACCACAAAGCATAGACATAAGGTATTGACATCCTTGGTTATCAATTTTTCAAAATGGAAGGACAAATGGTGCTAGATTTTGAAATTTATTCTACCATATTATACTAATGTTATTCTGATCATATCTGAAGACTTCTTGACTGGTAAATGTGGATGGGTTAATTAGTATCTTGTGGGAAAATTTGTGGAAAAAGATTGTTATGCATTTGTGTGGTTATCAATTTTTCAATAGGTACAAATACAAGAAAAGTTCAACAAAAAAACAAAGATTTGTCAAATTTTTTTTCTTCCCTTTTCTTATCTGATTCAGTACCAAACACAGTATAAATATTATAGTCATTAGTCTGATACTGCACCAAACGCCAAACTAATTTAGTCAGTACTATTTGGTGGCTATTTATCCTATCCAACATAAATAGTCAGTACAGTTTGAGCTACCAAATGGGGCCTAAAACACAAAATGAATAGTTTGCAGGGTTTATTTACATGTTTTATCCGTTTGTAACCCATCGAAATCTCTCTTCGTCGTGTCAAACGGACCTCGAAAAATTTGTATCGTGTGGTTCGGGTTCCAATTCCTCAGGTCTTGTGGAAGATGTTTGGTCTTCTTTGTCATTCAACATACTCAAGTAACTTTGCTACATTATAATTTACAAACGGATACCTGTGAGTAATCTAATTATATACAAATGGCTCATTGCCTTGTTTTCGTCCTCTTATTCTCTTCCATTGTACCTACAAATCACACCCCCTTCTCCTAGACTCGGTGGTCTAAAAAAATGTAGTCACCAACCGATCTTAATCCAACAATGAAGGAGAAAGTACAACAACAAAAGTTAAATAACCAATCACCGTTGGATTAAGATCAAACGTGGGTGACCACCATTTCGGGCCAAAACATGGCCTATGTGACACACCTCGACCTGGAACGTCCACTAGGACTCCGAATCGAGCTGTGCTGGCTGACACCTGGAAGGTGACGAAGCCATAAGGTGTGGTGGTGTGGAAAAAAGTGAATAAATTTAAACATAAGAGTGCCTAAATACCAGAGTGCGCTGGTAAACAGGAATGAACCCACTTCACACGTGACATTAGAGCATAAGTAAGTACAGTAGAGTGGATAAGGATTATACCCTCATAAGTAGCCACCTATCCTGAGATTTGCCAAGAATCCTCGTCGATATGAACTTTCAACAATTAAAACCTGGAGGGGAACAAAACAGAAAGTGTGAGTGGGCAAAATCAAAGCTTTTCAAAAACCATTTCAATTATCAAAGGTAATAACCCCTTACCGTAAAATCTGTATACTTCCTAGAAAATAGCATGCATGTTTGTATCTCAAAACCATATTTGAAATAACAATTCCACAAATATACCATGTCAAATCTCAGTAAGAAATAAGTAAGTCGGGTGGAATAAACCAATATGAAATAGTATGCCTGCCGGAGTCACCTAAAGTGACCTGTACGGCTGAGACCATAGCTCATCAATCAAATCCTGCACACGAGTCGGAACCACTTCATATGGTCAGTACGACAGACTAGGTGTAAATAAATACGCACAAGTGCTACGATCACGTGAAGGCTGTGCAAAGTAGCGCAAGTCACTTATGAGTCGGATCCACCTAATGTGGTATGTACGACAGGCTGACACCTGCCTTGGATCCAAGGTGAGCATGTGGTGTGGGAGGTGAATGATCACGTGAAGGCTAGACCCTGTCCTTGGGCGGAGCACTAACACCAGGGTGTAGGATAATAAGCTATGAATACATCTTAACACAATTATACTCACTACCATCACTACCATCAATATACTCACCTGAAGCTTACATGAGCGTTCACAGCGTCAAGCAACAATATATATAACCATACTAATGCATAATCGAACATAGAGAGCATTTGACATGGCATTTCAAAATATAAAACCATTTAATTAAGTTTTATGGGGAAAATACCAAGTGTGTGTGTGTGTGTGTATATATATATATATATACTGAAAACCAAAAGCCCACTCACTGGTATATAGCTAGGTCGTAGTCCCCGAGTCTTGCCTGGCTATGCTCGTCCTGTCTCACCTATATGTGAAACAACTAATTTAACGTTAATTCGATAACACATATACAAAACCTAGGATCAATTTCTCATACGTCGCTCAATTGGGGTATTTGAATATACCATTGTGGCCTACTCAACCCCACGAGCATCCTTATATTTTAGAATTTTTGGACTTAATCTAGTTTAAGTGTAAAACCCAACTTAAAACTAAATGGATTTCCAGGTGTCGGCCAGCACAGCTTGATTTGGAGTCCTAGTGGACGTTCCGGGTCGGGGTGTGTCATTATGGCCTTTGCCTAGCCTAATGGCCAAAAGGCTGAGAAATGGCCTAGTGGGTCCCTTTTTTTTGGCCCATCCCTCCATTGGAGTTGGATTTTGTCTCATTTCGGGCCAAAACATGGTCTGATCCATTAGAGATGACCTAACAGAAGTATGAAAGTGGCAAGAAAATTAAACTCTAGGTATGAAAGTGAGACGAAAAAAAGAAAATGTAAATAAAGTGCAATTTTGACAAAACTTAAGGATAGTTAAATTGGGGATTACTCTGAAATTTATTGCTAGCACAAAAAGTGTACATAAACAGAGCCCTAATTACAGGTGAAAATTGAAACACAGAACAAAACTATGGATCTCCAAAGTAGCACAAACAAACAACCTAACACAAGGTTTGGAGCTCAAAACAAAAAAGCACAAAGCAAAAACCCTAACAAGCAACACCATTTACCCCGCACGAACCCGCACGTCGCTAACATCCCTCTTATTGAGGTTGTTGAGGAATTTGATATGAATGGGATAAATTCTTCGGTATTCTGACTGGATCATGTATCCCTACGTGTCCAGAGACAAAAACCACCCTCTACCCTACCCTCACTGATTTTGCTAGGTTCACTTGATCCTATTTTGTGTCCCACTCCCTCTCATACCATACTCATGACCCACCACATTTGGTGCCTCACACAAAAACCTCTCCTTGAATGAGCATGACCTTGCTGACTTGTGATCAATTTGCATGTAGTACGACTGCACGAGGAATCTGATACTCCTTGTACTAATCATCTACGATACAATGTATAATGATTTTACATGGAAAAAGACTTGTTAATGGATCATATTTTGACCTGGATCTAATCCAAATTAATAGGATATGGATCGTAACTTCTAATCCAATTTTCCAAAAAGGATCCGAATTCGATAATCAATTGTAAATAGATCCGAATATGGATTGAGGCTAATTCGTTCAGATAATAATCTAATCCGATTTAATAAAAAAATATTATTTATACTTTTGTTTAATGGTAATTTAAGTTTATTTTCTTATTACTTAACATGTGAAACTTTTAATTTAAAATTGAAAAATATAATAAAAAATGAGATTTCTAATGGTATTTCGACAAGCTGGATTCAATGATCTGAATAGGTACTGAATCTGTTAAACTGATTATAAATGAATTCAGATTTAGATCAAGGATGACCCGATCGAATCCGACCCTTTCACAAATATAGTTCCAGAGCTAGTAAAGTACCAATAAAACTGTAGACATCGAAATTTCGGTAAATAAATGTTGATCGATAAATCAAAATTTCAATGCTCATGTATTACATAAATTTTACACGTAGCGTGTGACTCGACGAAAAATTGAAATGAGTTGGAAAAGTCATCAAACAGGATACGTGTCAACACCTGGCAGAAACGACTTATTTCATCTGGGATATTATATTCAAAATTAGGCCTTGGAAAATTATATAAATACAAGCCAATTTCATTCATTTTGGGGAGGAACCAAAATCATTAGGCAAAATTCTTGAAGCTCTGAAGCTCTAAAACTCCGAAGCTCTCAAGCATCCAGGTTCCTGAAGAATCAAGAAAACTCTCTTCGTTCTTCGTTCATTGTTCATCCTAAGATCAGGCCCAAACGGCCCTTTGGATCAACAATCATCCACCAATTCAAGATCAAGCCCCGACGGCCCTTGAAGAAAGTGTTATTCGTTATTCGTTCATCGTTCTTCCAAGATCAAGCCCCGACGGCCCTTGGATCAACAACATCAACAAATCCACACATCCAACTGTTCTTCAAGATCAAGCCCAAAAGCCCTTGAAGATCCGTTCATCACTGTTCTTCAAGATCAAGCCCAAAAGCCCTTGAAAATTCGTTCATCACCATTATTCAAGATCAAGCCTCAACGGCCCTTGAAGAAACACTCATCCTCAAGA